ATTGGCCTCATCAAGCCTTTGGGATCCTTGGCATGCACATCGGAAGTACAAGCCCGATGGGCCACAAGAGTCCTGAAGGGTGTGTAGGTGGAAAACATGGGTGGGCAAAGGGGCAAGAGGTGATAAAAGGGAAGATGGTAGGAGGGCAGGGTGGTTTTCAAACTTTGTCTAAGTTGAAATGATGGCTGATTGATTTTAGAGACTAGAAATCTTGATAACTCACCAGTTCCCATTTAAAACAGAGAGAAACTCTAAAAGCTGGATTTATATTAGTATTAACCAAGTCACAGGGTAATGATGACTTATATTGTATCTCTAATTGCAAACAAAGTAGAGACTACAAAATACTCACTTTGTCTACCTACATAAAAGTTCATCAGCCATTTTTGTGAAATTAATGGGCCTAATTAAAACATCAAAATGGTGATCTTATTGAAAATATTTTAGTCATACTGCCTGCTTGGTACAGTGATAAGAGTTATTAAGTACTGATTAAAATGTTGATATGAGAGTTAGTAACTACTGATTAAGATGTTGATGTCAGAGCAGAAGATATTGCTCATGTGGTATCCTCAGAGATCTCTCCTTGATACCTGTTATCATTTTTCTCAATGACTTGGATGAAGGCATGGATGGCGCACTCAAACGTGCCAATGATACAAAAGTGTGAAGGGACTGACAGCACACTGGATTGTGAACCAAACCAAAAACATCTTGACAGGCTAGAACACTGGGCAAATCTAATAAGTAAACTTTTAATCAAGTGAAATTTAAAGTCCTACAACTGGGTTGAAAAATCAACTGCACAAGTATAAGGTGGAAAAAATGTAACTTGAAGCAGTTTAGGTTGAAAAACAAAGATTTGGCAGGTTTCATACTACAAACTTAATATGGGTCAACAGTGTGATAAGGCAATAAAAAAAAAAGTTACTGTGATTCCAGCTTGCATTAATGGAAACATGATTTCCAGAATAAGAGTGGTGATTGTCTAATTGCATTCTGCCATGATCAGACCATACCTGAAGTCTTCTGGTTACTTCTGGACATCATATTTTACTAAGAACATGGATAAACTGGAGAGCATCAGAAGAAGGATGATGAGAATTGTGTAGGTCCTTGAGACCTTGCCATATAAGAATCTCTTAAAGGTACTGGGGAAGTTTAGCTTAGCAAAAAGAGGCATGAAATACACCTGGTAAAAATATTTACACTTACAAGAATATACTTACCTGACTTGGCCTCAGAAGACTTTACTGAGAACAGTGGGTAAAAGTTGCAAGGAGACATTTATGCCTGATTTCAGGGAAAAAAATATTCTAACAATTAGAACTATCCACAAATGAAGTGAACTGCCTTGGAAAGTAATGAGTTCCCTCTCATTGGAGAATAATACTGCAGAAAGTTTTACTTAGGTATAGTTTGGATTGCCTGACTCATGAGGTGTTTCCTAACTCTGAGATTTGATGATAAGGGCCAAAGAACTGGTTAGTTGAGTTACATTTTAGTTTTCTGCTATTTACTTTGACATCATATAGACAAAGACATAGTAAGCCAAAGTCACAAGGATTGTGACAACTTGCCTTTGTGGAAAGTTTGAATATCCAGGAACCTGAATCATTGGTTTTGTCACTCTCTTGGGTACAAGAAAAACAGTGGCCAACCTCACTAATTATAAATTGTGATACTTCATATGGTTTGCCCAGAGTTAAAGGAAACTTTTCATTTTGTTTTGTAGGCTTGAATAAACTACCATCAGCAGAGGCCATGAGAGAAGACATTAGCAAAAGGAAAGCCAATAAAGCCACCGGGTAGGCTATGTCCCTTAGTTACTTGCATATACTATTTTAATTTACAACTAGAGTTTTCAAAACTTTTCAGTGTTCACAGTAAAGCGTTTCCCTAAAGAGTCAATGATTGGAGTTTTACCCAGTGATGGCAAAAAGCAGTAAATTTCAAACAGAAGGAAAATGGAGCATCAAGAACTCTGGAAGAGTTCTAGGGCAACCTTATTAGGAGCTGCAGGAGAAAGATGAAATAAGGGGACCCAACATGTCACGGCAATGAGGATACTAGATCATCACTATCTACCATGTCAAAGAACTAAGGACTTCAGAATAGGAATAGAGATTTTACCTGGGATTTAATTGGCATAAACAACTCCAAGGTTAGGAAATTCCCTCAACCAAAGCAGGTCAGCACCTTCTCTGAAACTTATGGTTTTGAGAGCTGTATAGAGAAGTGAAAGGTTAAGTGATTTTTCCCAGGAACATAGAGCCAGTCAGAGGCAGAACTTTTAACCAAGGCCATCCTGAATTTAAAGACAGTTCTTTATCCATTATACCAATACTAAGTCCTATGGACCTAGAATTTCAGAATACATGACAGCAGGAGGGATGTCAAAGAAATTAACATCATAGTTTGGTCTGGGACCAGCAAGAGATAGTGCATTATCACCAATCTGGACAGCATAGTCCCAGGGTGGCTGTTTCACAGCTGAGTGGCATATCTCCTCCAGGGCATGATTTCTGGAGGTTTGGTTGGGAGATTAGGGCAGTAGCAGGAAGTACATTGAGGAGAAAGCTAGGATGAAGCATGGTTGGCTCTGGGGCTGGCTAGATAGTTTGACTCTTACCAATTAGAACAGCCCAGCCCTATGGCTATAGTTCCAAAGTAGTGTTTTTAAAAGGAGTTCACTTTATAGTTAGGAAGAGGAGAAGAATTTTGAGAGTAGGAGACATATTAGTACATGTTAGAGTGAAAGACAGATCATGGATATGATTCTGAACTTTAGGAGAAGAATTGTTTTACCCATAATAAGATGACCTTTCTTTTTCCTTTTCCCCTTCTTCACAAAGGTTTGGTTTATACTTCAAACTGGTTTTGCAAACAGATCGTGTCGTATACCTAGATGAACTCTTGTCCTTCATCGATGCAAAGCCCAACTTGTTATCTCTGCTCCTGGTGGACCCACTACTGGCTTTTAAGGTTTTCTTCGGCCCACTTACCCCATACCAGTACCGTCTGACTGGCCCAGGGAAGTGGGATGGAGCCAGGAATGCCATTCTGACCCAGTGGGACCGGACAATCAAGCCAACAAAAACTCGAGTTGTACAAGAGCCTCCAGATACTTTTTCCCACCTACTCAAAGTCTTCAGCTTTTTGGCTCTATTTGTTGCTATATTTCTTATTTTCCAATAGCTGAAGCCCTTGGTTCCTCAGAACAAATGCACAGGGTAGATCCTCCATTAGAGCAGTGCCTTCATTCCTGGGGTCTTTCTCAGAATAACTAACTTGGGGCAGCTAGGAGGTGCAGTGGCCCCGGATTCAGGAGGACCTGAGTTCAAATCCGGTCTCAGACACGTAACACTTACTAGCTGTGTGACCCTGGGCAAGTCACTTAACCCCATTGCCTAGCTAATAAAAAAAAAAAAAAAAGAATAACTAACTTGAGGCCTTATTCTTCCCACCTGGAATCCACATGCACTCTAGAAACTCTATGAAAGCCCTATTGGCCAATAGTGTTCAGTGTGTATTTCTCCCACCCTTGTCCCTCTCCAGCTCTATACTGATCTCTATATTCTACCAATCTATGAGAAAGAAAGTTTTCTGCAAACCTTCAAACAATATACAAATGTGAGCTATGATTGTGGTAATTGTTTTATCTTTATTATCTGCATTTAATACTGGTGGAATAAAATAGTCTTTCCTGATTTTGGTAGTTTCAGAGGAGATACCAATCTCAGTAGTGACACTTCCTTCTCCTTTAGGAAATGTTGTTAATTTAATTTGTGTACTATAGGCAGTCAAAGTCTTCCAAATACTAGGTCTGCGGAGAGGTTGTATGCTACACTTTTCGTTGAAGAGCAATAAAAGAAGTAGCGAACATTTTCAAGTGTTTTTTAATGTCTTTATTGTTGGGAAGTGGAAGAGGGGGTATTTATAAAGAGGTGAATTGGGGGTGAGGTAGGGAAAGAAGACAGGGGAAGTAATGTCTGCTCAGGACCAACATGAATTCTAGGTGGATTAAGTAAATATCTAAGTGGCATACACACACACACACACACACACACACACACACACACACACACAGACTGAAGTTTTCCAACCTGTATTAAGCTGCTGTGAGTCCCAACAATATGAAATAATTTGGTCTCATAATTTGGGAATAATTCAATCCTTCCAAGTATTTTCAGATGAATTCAATGCCCCAGGACAGCCCTACCTCACTCTCCTAAGCCTAGCTATGGGATGTCACCTCCCAGCAAATGAATACTGCCTCTGAGAGCTTCATCTTGTGACACTACTGTGAAGAATGAGGGGTAATTTCTGTTCAGATTCATGACTCCAAACAACATTTAGGTTCAGGACTTCTCAAGGAACAATGCAATTCTCCTTATCTCTTATGTACTGGATTTCTATAACATCTTTTCACCACAAAGTTCAGGCTATCCTGCCCATAAGAGACAGTATGGACATCATTAATAACTGTGCTCAAGAGTGAGTGGCAAAGAGAGATATTCAAGGGGGGAAGGTAGGGAGAGAGAATAAGAAGACATATTGGGAAAGCAAAAGTAACTGTGGTGTCAGAGAATAAAAATTATATAAATTGGACCTAGTATCAGCTTGGTCTGCACAAAGTGCACCTTGATCGTTGTACTAGGAAGATCATAGATTTAGACCTGGAAGAGAACTGAGAGGGTTTTTAATCCAACCCCCCTCACTTTACAGATGAAGAAACTGAGGCTAAGTGAAATGCCCATGGTAGTAAGTGGTAGAGATGGGATTTGAACCTGGGTTCTCTAAATCCCAAGTCATTGTTCTTCCCATTGTGTCATGTTGTGTTGGAGTTGGTTTAATTACGCATCCAAAATCAACAAGAAAGATCTTTTCATGGGATACTTGGTCATTTCATTTTGCTGGATTTGTGGTTAGCATTTGTTAAATGACCATTATGACGATAATTACAGTTTATACGCTAATATTTGTTGCAGAGAATTAGGAAATCATGAAATACTATTCAGAACTCATTAAGATTCTCTAAATCAAGTTAACATATACCTTCGTACCTTCTTTCTGGCCCTCACCACCCTCCACAGATGTTATGGTGGAAACTTGATGAGTCAAAGGGAACTGTCTCACACAGAACAAAAGATGACCCATAGGACCAGAGAAGGGTAAATATTAAATTTTCAGATAACAGAAGTGGACGAAGTCTGCAAACTCCAGGCCAATGAGGTTGACCTCAATTCCTGACAAAATTTCAAATGTATTAGTTGAGGAACACTGCATAAATATTCAGAAAGGGAAACAATGATCACTAAGAACTAGCATGACTTCACCAAAAATAGATGTTCCTAGACTAACTTCATTTCTTATTCTGATATTAGACTGGTAGAACAGGGGAATGTTCTAGACATAGTAAACCTATCTTTTAGTAAAAGTCATTGGGCTTAAAAAAAAACACCAATACTACCAAAGTATGAGTCACATTAATACCTCAATTAGATAGTTTTTTAAAGGAATGATTTAATATTATACATGTAGATAGTTATTTAAAAGGAATGATTCAATATTATACTTTTAGATAGTTGTTTAAAAGGAATGATTTAATATTATACATTTAGATAGTTGTTTTCAAGGAATAGTTTAATAGTATACATTTAGATAATTGTTTAAAAGGAATGATTTAGTATTAGACATTTAAATTACTTATATAATTTGTTCAGTCCCCTTTCTACTACATCAGAGATGTCAAACACTCCACCACACAGGCAGCATTATTCCCCAACACTCCCAAGTGTGGCTGAACCAGATTAAAATGTAATTAGGAAATAGTTAGCAAAATAAATCAAAATACAATAGACCATAGATAATGTTAATACATATGTGGATTCCTAAGTCAATTTGCCACCAGAAGGTATCCTTACTGATGGATTAGTGGTCCCATTTCTATTTGAGTTTGACATCACTGGTCTGCACCTGCTTACTGTACTCTTGAGTAAAATAGAGGACCATTGAGTCAACCAAAAAGTCTGGGAGTAACTTATTTAAATGGTTGTCTAAATTGCATATTTCTTTGCAGGGCCAGAATAGGAGAAGAAAGGTGACTGATTCTGTTTGTCACAACAGGAAGACTGAGATTTTGAGAGAGTTCAGAAATTCAGCTCTCCCTAGTGGTCTACTTTAGAAGTGAGCTGATGACTATGTTTTACCCCAGAGCACTTTCTGAGACTTAGATATTATGATGCAGGCTGAGGGTACAGATGGAGGAGGACTGGACTTCCTCCATTTTCTTTCACAAGTCTCTAAACCAGATTTAACAACTCTGGGAGTAGCTTGTCTGTCCTTTACACAACTAAAGAAATATAATAACAGAAAGGCCATGTGGATATCCTATAACTACTTTAAATGAAAAGAATGCTTCATTGATTATTTTCTCTGACGTAGCTAAGAAGTGCCAAGTTTTAATGTATAATTTTAGCCAAGAACAGATTATTTGGCCTTTCAATTCTTAAAAAAAATAACTTAGAGACTGCAACCAGATATCTCCCTTTGCCAAGCCTACTGGGCCAATTTCCTTTGAGATGGGTGTTTGATTATGCATTGGCTTGCTTTCCTAATATTTGTTCTCTGAGGGAGGCAATGGTGATAATAATGAAAGTTTTCACCTATTCTGTGGTTAAGATTATAGCTAGAACACAGGAGAGGGAATAAAGGATGTGAATATGATGAAAGGTTGCTGAGAAAATACTCCTCTGAAAAGAATATCTGGACAAGATCATAGTATCTGTTAAGTAACTTCAATTCCAGAGTCACTGAGGTTCAGGGGATGG